TCTCTCTCTCTCTCTCTCTCTCTCTCTCTCTCTCTCTCTCTCTCTCTCTCTCTCTCTCTCTATTTTTTCCTTTCTTTTTGTCTCTCTTTGTTTGCACATGTGTCTCCTCGCCCTTTCTCCTATTTTTTTTGTTGGATTTCTCGATTTGTCACTTTCTTCAATTCCTCACTTTCTTTGGTCTTTTCTTGGTGCTCTCTCCCTCTCTTGATTGTTTGTTTGAATTTATGCGAGTGCTCTGTGTCAGGTTGCCTACAACATTTCTTACTTTTGCGGGCATTGCGCGCACCGCCCCCACCCCGGGCGCTAAGTTGTTTTCTTACTCCTTTATGTCTCTCTATCTGTATCTCTTTTCTTACTCATCTATGTCTCTTTATTTGTGTCTCTCTATCTCTCTCTCCCTCATTTCTCCCTCTCTCTCTCCCTTTCTCTGTCTCTCCATCCATCTTTCATTTCTTAAATTCGTTAATTGTACTCAAATTTGGCAGTTGGTTTGAGCCTAATTTTTTTTTTTTTTTTTTTTTTTTTTTGCGGGTTATTGCCCGCACTGACCGCACTTTGGGCACTTAGCTAGTTGTCATTATAGTATTACGGGGAACCCCATAGCAACCACATCCGTGCTCAAGCCTCCAACAAGGGAGCATGCGGGAGCTGCACCCACCAGCAGGTGCGATACCCCTGCTACAGCAGGTGGGCGATACCTGCCAGGGGTAAACCGGTAGCATCAGGACCTACAGTAGCTTCTTCTATGGGCCAGTCACTGTGCCTGACAAAGACTTGATGAAGACTACAACTACCGTCTTCACCCGAATAGAACGCCCAGTCATTATCACTGTATCTAGACTGAAAGTTGCACCAAGTACACCCATAATGACCGGGCGTTCTATTTGGGTGAAGACGGTACGCAGACATTATGTGAAAAAAAAAACTAATTATCTTACAACTTGATCTTCCTCGGCGGTCCTATCTTTTGCAGCTGTGTTCGACGTTTCGTCTTGTTTGGATTGGACTCGTAATTGCACCATGATTGTGGAAATTTTGCATAACTATCGTTTCTATTCACAGCAGGAGGGGATGTAGGAAAATGCACACATAACAATGCACACGTCACCGAGTAGTGAAAAAAAACAGTGGCTTAGATTGATGAAGATACATAGGAAGTAGTCACAGTCCAGCCAATCATCCCGTCAAACCCAATAATCCGCCAACAAACCGTCATACCCGCCGCCGGACTAATCGTCCTTTGGCGCAACCCAAGAGGTCAAAGCTATTGTCAACAATCTACTTATACTACTCGTAGGGGGCAGTCACTCATACAGACACAAACTGGGCCCAGTGCCAGAGAAACCAGGGGCACGGATCAAACCCAAAAACCGGGTTCAGAACACCCGAAGGCCTGTCAGAGCAGGCTCTGTGGGCCTATAGTGGCCACAGTTGAACAAGAAAAAATTAAATCTCGCAAAGAAAGCAGCTAAGGCAAACTGCAGGCCTATATCCTATGAAAAAACAGAACAAACGACGAAAAGCAACGAAAAAGCAACACCCTATCCACAGATATCAGAAAAAAAAATGGTACCCTGCCCTCCCGGAAAGAGAGAAACAGGCCCTACTGATACAAGAGTCCAGAAGTTCACCCAGGTCAGTACAACAACTTAACAGTAAGCTTCCAGATATCGTCCCGCCGGAAGGCGAAGCGCTTGAGGACTTGTTTGAAGAAGACGTCAGGGAAATCCTTCAAAGAGAGCTCATGTCGCAATGCCCGCACTCTGTTAGGAATCTCCAGACGGATCGAGGTGTTCTGGTCGATCCGATGAAGATACCCGCTGATGATGGCACTTTTTTGCCGTTTACAGCCCCAAGAAAAATAAGACTGACCGTTCAGGAATTCCAGACGGTCGGAACAACGGAGGCGATCATCGTTTCTCGAGGTCTGGATACTGCCAATAAAAGGAAAATGCTGCGAGACACGAATTTGGTAACCAAGAAAGTCCACGATATTGGTTCCAGTGTCGGTTTGCTTGAGCAACAGGTTCCTGGGATAGCAGGTCTGGAAAGCTTCCAGTTATGCTCGATCGTCCCTGCCGCGGGAAGAAGCCATCAACACATCGTCCATCAGTCGCGTGGCAAAAATACAACGAGCAACCTTACCAATTCCACAGATAAAGTTGTGCTCAGAAAAGGCACATAGGATACATGCGAGGGGAGGGTTCGTGCTCTTCCCCATGGGTATCCCTATGTCCTGTTTCATCAGAACTCCTGTGGCATGAAAATACGTGTGATCCAGTTCAAGAGAAACAAAGGATCGGATATCCGAGAGATAGAGTTTCCTCCAGTGATCACCTCCCGTAGATAGGCCAAAGTTGGACCCCTTGCCCCGTGTATTAACACGTACAAACGAGTGGCCTTTATCACTGTGATACTGGATTAACCAGTCTAATGCTCGCCGAATATCGGCATGTGGGAGCTTCGTGAACATATCTTTAATGTCAAAAGAATAGGACTTGACAACACGATCAGCTCCGAGCTGGAGCATTTTCTTGTTGGCAGAGCTCAAATAGGCAGTCATGTTCGAAACGGCTGACAGATTAAAGTGGCAATGTTTTGGGATCGTATTCAACAGATGATTCAAAGCTTTGGAGACAACACGACCGGTCGGAATCATTGGTTCATTGAAGGATGGACAAATAGGGCGATAACGGCAAAGATCTTTGTGTTTAGGTAGGATGTAAGCAGAGCCAAACTTGCCGTTACTGTCCGATTTTGCAAACTGTTTCAAACCTGCAGTGACAACGTCTTCACGGAGTTCCCGAAGCACAATGCTCTCGGGACAGTCCACAATACGGTAACCTGGATTGAGGACATATGTATCCATAATAGCCCTGTAGTACGTGAGAGGACACATAACCACCGTTTCGCGGGGATTCCGGTCCACGACAGTAAGGGCAAGACCCTCAAAACGATGCTTAATTGCTAGGACTTCGTGCAAAAACAGACAACGACTATTACTAGTTGCATGGGAAAAACAATTAGACAATACATCATCGCTGAAATAAGGTGGAGCCTCGACACAGTTGACCCAGTTATTGAAGCCGGAACGCAGCTCCTCACGAAAGGAGGGTAGGCGATCATTAATACGTGCACAAGGCACGTTGTTGGCGTTGCTCAACAGGGGGTGAATCCCTTCGAGCTCGCTGAGCCGAAACAAAACACGGTTATCCGAGCGTGGGAGATCAAGACCTGCGCAAGTGCAAGTCAGCACAGTGCGTGTCGAAAGACTACGCATGTTGTGCAAAACATCGGCAATAGTCGGATTTTTAGTCCCGACTATCCGAACCTTCTTCCGTGCTCGGTGCAGAAAGCACATCGGCAAATTTTGAAGCATAATGGCGTCGTTCACCACTTTACGAACTTCAGAGATGATGATATGGTCATCGAAAGGAATGCGAAAAATCAAATCTGCACTAAGATTCAAACCAAAGCGATCACGAAAGCAACGTGAAAGGAGGCGGCGCAAGTACTTGCGGGTAGACTTCCGAGAGAAATCCTTGATGACTCGATAAATGCGCAAGAAGGATCTCATACCCCAATTACGCAGAGTTGAGACTTTTCGAGGATTTCGAAGGATTCCAATCAAAAGTTTCTTAAGATAGCCACTGCGCGCGGACCATTTACACTCATATGAAACCGAGAAACAACCTCCCGTTTGTAGCAACAACTTACAATCCTTCAGACAGAAGGTACCAGATGTGTGCACCAGCTTCGTATTACCAAAGGCCCTGACCAACTTACCCCAGCTAGGCAGCTAGGCTGCCAGATGTTGCCCGGTTGAATGCAAAATTCCACTAGATGGTTCCCGGATTTCAGGATACTGTCAAAAAAGGCATAAAAATCCACCAACCATTCGGATGCAGTCAGTACCCTGAATCGGATCAGATTCCAAGTGCAATTAGAGACAGTAGAAACAGTAGCCTCCTTCCCCTTGGCGCGCTCCCTCCTACCGGCTTTGCTCTTACTACGCTTAGTACCCTTTTTTGAGCACCCACTAGTATTCAAGAAAGGGGAGCACAACTTAATGTAGACACTCTCCAATTTTTCCAATTCGCTGCCTACGAAGATATCAACAGGAAGCAACAGATAGTTCCCGATCCCAAAATTAACTAACCAGCGGTGGAAGTGCGACGGCTTACGATTACGGTAGGCATACAAATGTTCCCTCCATCTGGTATCGACGTTCCGAGTAGATTTACCAATGTAAAACAATTTACAAAAGGGCGAAACCCCAACGTATACACAATCGGTAAGATCTAGGAAATCAAGGCCATGTCGGTCATATAAGTTCAGCCAGTGCTCAACAAACTTACTCGCCCAACGAATCTGCTTCAGTACAGCTAGCAGGAGGAAGACAAGGCGCAATAACTTCTCAAGGCTCTTATCTACCTTCGAGGATGCACAACGGAGATGGGTAAGGAAACGACAAACCTTCCATAGTTGCGGAGCTGATAACGGTTTTCACCCTGCGCTTGCAGTTGCTTCCTCCTGGTCGACATGCGTGTCATCTGAAATCGCGATGTGTTCAATTCGGGCCAGCGCGGTGGAGAATGCCCGTTCGGTCATATGATCGACAATATCGAAGATCACTTCGATCTTCTTATCATAGTGAATGTCCTCCTCTCGACAGATGCGTTGCAGTTCGGTGGCATCCAGATCCTTCAGCTCGCGAAGGGCGTTGTCTCGGTAGCGCAGGCGCTCCAGGGAGACCTTCGAGAGTGGCGTCGAGATCGGAGTCCGCTTCTGCGTCGGGGTGCGTTTCTTGGACAACGGAGTGGCAATCTTCTTGGAGGCAGACGTCGGCGTAAGTCCCCCACCTCCCTTCTTGGACTTCGATCTGGTCAATCGGCCAGTAAGTTTGACTGGCTTCAAGATACCCCGCTTAGGGGTACGTTTAGCTGGCTGCTCCATAGGTGGGCTCGGGTCTTCAAACGCCGGTTCGGGCCCTCGTTTCCGCTTCTCCGTGATAGTCAAACGCTCTGCACGAGCGCTAAGCTCTTGTGTAACGCTAGTGTCACTGCCTTCCGCCGAGCTAGGGGAAGAAACATCGTCTCCGGATTTGTATGTCACCTTCTTCTTACCACGCTCAAAGCGTGTAGGCACAGCCACGACCTGGTGCAGGCGCTGAACCAGGCGGTCCTCCAAATCGCCAACGTGCATGGCTAACTGGATCTGGAGGTCCTTCTGCATCTCCGCACGTCTCTCGTCTTCGATTATCTTCTTCTGCTGCCGCTTCCAAGCCTTCTTCTCCGCAGCGATACGTTCCTCCTCCAGACGTGCAGCTTCCTCCGCCTCCCGTCGTCGGGCTTCCTCCTTATCCAATTTCTTCTTCAATTTTTGCTCCTTCTTCGCCCGTTGTGCGGCATAATGCTCCTCCATAGCAGCGACGCTCTTACCAAGCTTCGAGATGGTACCACGAATCTCCGGATCCAGGTTAGGAGACAACTCATGTCTCTTCGATTCATGTCTCCTAGGCGATCTGGTACGTCGTGAATCCGTAGATGTCGATGGTCTAGCGCTAGGATAGCGCTTACTCCTGTTCGGGCACTGATTTGCGTAGTGCCCGACTTCATTGCAAGCGAAACATGTTGGAGGCCGGTAAGGTCTTCGGTCTCCTGGATCATACGCGGGATCCCTGTCTCTCCGCTTGCGGTCCCAATCGCCCCACTCGCGTTCCCGCTCGTTCCGGTCATGCTGACCTTGTGATGACATGACGTCCGGCAGTACTCACCGCATACATGGTGTAGAGTCAAACTCCCGATAAGCACCGAAGCGATGCGTCAGCTGCACAAACTTAACGTAGTCAAAGTGTACCCAAACACGGACAGGTTAACGTGCTCACTCAAGCCCGGTAAGTTGATCTCGAGGTAAGTTAACACGCGCAATCCAGCGGATGTAGGAAAATGCACACATAACAATGCACACGAGTAGTGAAAAAAGCCAGTGGCTTAGATTGATGAAGATACATAGGAAGTAGTCACAGTCCAGCCAATCATCCCGTCAAACCCAATAATCTGCCAACAAACCGTCATACCCGCCGCCGGACTAATCGTCCTTTGGCGCAACCCAAGAGGTCGAAGCTATCGTCAACAATGTACCTATACTACTCGTAGGGGGCAGTCACTCATACAGACACAAACTGGGCCCAGTCCCAGAGAAACCAGGGGCACGGACCAAACCCAGAAACCGGGTTCAGAACATCCGAAGGCCTGTCAGAGCAGGCTCTGTGGGCCTATAGTGGCCACAGTCGAACAAGAAAAAAATAAATCTCGCAAAGAAAGCAGCTAAGGCAAACTACAGGCCTATATCCTACGAAAAAACAGAACAAACGACGAAAAGCAACGAAAAAGCAGGAGGGTTTTCGATGTGTTTGTCCAGAGGCTAATGAGGCTTTTTCCGCGAATGAACGGACATGTATGCTTTCAGGTGAGTGAGGTAGACATGTAGGCTTTCGGGTGAGTGAGGTAGACTTCTGTCCCAAGACGATTGTGAATTGTAAGAACAAAGGTTTGCCAGAGTATCGCACTAATCACCTTCATGGCGTGAGGAAGCAGCTGTTAGCACCGCTCTCACGATCACGACTGGGTAGTGGGTGACTCTAGAGAGGAAATCAGTGTATCTACAGAGGATCTGCTGGCCAGGGATGTTTTTTGCTGAACAGAGTATCTTGGAATCCACTGCCTCGCAAAGGGAAATTGTAGAGGCTCGTAAGCAGTGTGATGGAATGGTTGCTTGTTCAATGATCGATCATAAAGTAGGAGATAGTACTACCGTCTTCACCCGAATAGAACGCCCAGTCATTATAGCTGTATTTGGTGCAACTTTCAGTCTAGATACAGTGATAATGACCGGGCGTTCTATTCGGGTGAAGACGGAAGTGCTATGTTTTGTTGTCCTAAGACATATTATTATGAGGTTGGTCAACGGAAATTATTGTTGCTAGATAATTATCGGGGTTTGCGAGTAATCGAGGATTGTGAGGAAAAAGTGTTTCTTGCAGTGGTTGAAAGAATATCAGCATCTTCAATTGACCTTGTACCATGCATTGGGCCGCTGATGATAAGATCCGATTCGGTGAAGCGTATGTTATACGCAAGCATACGCTTCACCGAATCGGATAGCAAACCCCGATAATTATCTAGCAACAATTTCCAGCTAGGGAAATTGTTGCAGTGGTTGAAAGAATATCAGCACTTCACCGAATCTGAGGAAGTGGCGGCCTTTATGCTTGCCACTGCATGGTACACAGTCAATTGAGATCATGTGGCGGCCTCATCTGAGGAAGTGGCGGCCGATTTGTCCTTCTTGGTCAGCACCAGCTAGGGAAGACTCGGAAGAGTCTAGGTTGGTTCAGGCTTGCGTTAATGAGATCATGCCGAAAAAGGTAACCGTTATCTTCGCATTCATTTTAATCTTCGCATTCATTTTAATCTTCGCATTCAGTTTAATCTCCGTACTACTACGGTACTAGTACAGAATCTGATTCGCTTAATTACTGTATAAATAATTCAGAAAGTTAATAAGACGCTGGCGGAGAATGTCGGAGTTATCGTTCTCTTCTTCGATGTTATTAAGGAAATGTTTTGTCAGCTACCCCACTACGCGATTGTTTCGGCCGTCGAGTGCCACTGGGTAATCCGTTTGTTAGAAGAGAAAGGGTTCTATAAGTTCCTGGTAGAGATGAGAATCACGTACTAGGTCCTTTTTTACCCTTGTTAGAAGAGAAAGGATGAGAATCACGTACTAGGTCCTTTTTTGTAGCATCGCGACATATGAGACATGTTGGAAGTCCGTCCAGTTCTCTACCCTTTTTTTCTTTCTTTCTTTCTTTTTTTTTTTTTTTTTTTTTTTTTTTTTGTAAGGCCCTTTCTCTACCGTTGTGAAGTTCATTCATCATAATTCATGAAGATATTAGGGATGGACTTTGATTTTCAGGCTGTGTGGCCAACGCTGGACGTTTGTGATGAGAGCGCTCGACGAGCCGACCAGCTGGGCCTGGTCGCACCTCTGTCGAACTGGGGTGGCGTCAACCACGGCACATGTGAAAGACGACGGCGCCATCGCCGGTGTCAGAAAATGACGATGGGAGGGCTGGCCCCCTGACCGCCATAGCACCAGGCAATTTGGCGAGGCCTGTGAAGGCCACGTCGGGAGGGAGGCGCCCCTCTTGCGGCGCAGGATCACAGCTAACTACGACAGTCGAAAATGGTTATGATAGGAGAGATGAGAAAAAAAAAAAGGGGCAAGTACGTTTGTGTCACAAATGAAGTTCAAAAGGGCACAAAAAACAATAACGGGCAACGGAAAAATGGCCGTAGTTCGAAAAGGCAGTCATAACATCAGAAGGCGGTAACATCAGGCCCCGAGTTTGAAAAGGGCGGTTGTAGCACACTTTCCTTTTTTTTTTTTTTTCGCGGCCGTGGCCAATCTGGGGTGTGGCCGAGACATCTCGGCCGTGGCCCAGACATCTCGGCCATGGCCCAATTTGGGGTGTGGCCGAGACATCTCGGCCATGGCCCAACCATGGGGCCTTTTTTTTTTTTTCAGCCACGGTGCGGCGCGGCGCGATGGCCGACAACCGTGGCCAATTTGGGGTGTGGCCGAGACATCTCGCCCATGGCGCAACCATGGGGCCTTTTTTTTTTTTTTTTTTTTAGCCACGGAGCGGCGCGATGCGCATCCGGAAAAAAAAAAAAAAGGGTGCTACAACCGCCCTTTTCAAACTCGGGGCCTGATGTCACCGCCTTTTGATGTTATGACTGCCTTTTCGAACTGCGGCCATTTTTCCGTTGCCCATTAGTGTTTTTTTTGCCTTTACAGTTTGAAAGTGTGCTACTACCGCACTTGTTTCAAACAAAAAAACAAAACAAAAAAAAAAAAACCTGAGCGAATGGAACGGAGGTCAAACGTGCAGAGAGGAGCGGGATGAAGAATGAACGACGGAAACAAGAGACAGCGGCCCGGGAGGAAAGACGCATGACGAAGACGAAATTATGGTGGAAGTATGAGGGAAGAGAAGGGAGAGGGGTCGCGAGTGAGAACGAACGGAAGAGTGAAGAGGCAGACAAAGCAGCGAACTAGGAGAGTGGAGATAGAGACAGTGAACGAAGTGAAGGGCTGCGGAGGACCGGAGGTGTGTGCCAAGGGTTGAGAGTGGGATAGGGCAATCTGGGGGGATTAACAAGGGAGGACATCGAATACGAAGTTTAGGAAACGAAAACGAAATCCTCTGTGGGCGGATGGTGGATGAAAATCACAAGGAAGCGGGCCGGACGCTACAACACATGGAAGGAAGTCAACACCAGGCAGTGTGCAGCGGATGACAGGGGAGGGGAGCGGCGTGACGAGGACGGGAACCTGCCCAGTAATGGACGAGGACGGTGAATAAGTGGAGGGTCCCCTGCCCCTCCTGCGACGGTAAGGCTGGCTGGCCGCCGCTGCTCCAATCACCTCCCCCCCCTCCCCCTCTTTCCCGTGTGTTTGTTTTGTCGCATCCTCTCGGAATGCCTCACCGCCTCGACGAGTCGTATCCCCCCTTCCCTGTAACCCTACCATCGCTGGAGACATGACCTTTCACTGCTTTGCCCCGAGGTAAAAACCTGTCATTCTGCGTTTCGCTCTCACGGAAAGGAATCGTTCACCTTGAAGTTCCCCTCGAGGAGTGCCAAAAGGGACTAGTTAGCATATGCATCCCTCCTCCCCTGAGTCGCAGTCGCCACTTGAGACGCGAGCTCGACAGCAGTTCTATAATCCGCAACCCCAACGTACTCCGGCCCAAGGGACAGTGTTCATGTGAATTCCTTTGCGCTAGTGGAAGACATCACGGCGTGTTTGCTCATGAATAGACATATTAGTGAGAAACCAGAGATTGAGAACACGGACGGCCTACCAATAACTGCAAACCAATCACCACACCGCCACTGCCCAAGTCACGGACACAGGCCCACATCTACAACAAGGAAGTTTTGGATCGGTAGGGCTAAATTAATCAGGCACGAAGAAACTTGCTTCTGGGATACAACAATCGGAAGCAAATTGGGCACTAACTCCCATAGCCCCCTACTCGGGATTGGAATATACCAATAATCAAGAAAGGTGGCGACGAGGGATCACAGATTTGAGTACGGATCCGGAGGTCAGATCTATTCAACGGGGGCAAGATTACAGACATCTCGGAGTCAAGATAGATGGGTACTAAGCGGGGCGCACAGGGGAAAGGCTTGCCCTTCTACAGGCAACAGGCACCCAGGCCTGAGCCAAGCGGTAGATGGACAATTGGGCACCTGGGAACAGGACGTGCGTTAGGGCTAGGTGATCGAAAAAGGGCGCCTAGAGAGTGGCGCCCTATAACCGTAGGAACCACCGAAGGGGAGAATGGGAAAGTCACGGGGTTGTCTTCCACTCTACGGCGTTGACTCAGGGGTCAACATCAGCAACTACAGTCACGGCGAGGGTGGAACGCCCTTCGACCCGGGAGAAAACACCCTCGACCATAGCCAAACAGATGGTGGATCAGCCCCACCTCCCCCGCCCATCCATGCAGTCTCGGTTGTCGGGTACAAAGATCCCCTCCTCCCGCCCGTCCCTTGTATCCCTCCTGGTGCCGGCTCCCCACCGTGTAAACACCAACCTGCCTGCCCTTGACTCCCTTCATCCCACTCGCAGTCATTTTATTCAAAAGCTGCATGCGCAGTCCGAGAAGCTTTTAAATAATCCGGAATCTGACGACTATATACGACCGGT